CTTGATTTCACAAAATTTATTTATTTCAGTTAGCTATGAAATGTGAGGCTAGAGTATATGTATTGAACTTTTTAATATTAAGAGCCACTTGAGAAATTAATGTAGTAATTGTCAGAATTTAGTTGCTATAATGTCTGTGTTAATACTCGTTAAAATTGTATTTGAGAAAATAGCACTTCAAGTTTCATGAGAAATTAGTAGAGTCTCTGTTATTCAAAGTGGTTTCCATGTAGAAACAATACATATATATATAACAGATGCATATTGAAGTGCAAGTTTATGAGAGACTCCATATTGGGAAGTAGAACCTCTAGGCAACTAGCAGGTATGTTAATGGGTAGAATTATGTTTCTGGGGGAGAAATAGTGATAAGATGAATAGGGACTTATTGTATGTACCTTACCAAGAGATCTTTATAAACTCACAAGTTACCAGTTGTATATGTTGTACCAAATTAAGAAAATATATTGTTGGATATAGAAATATTCTGATGTTTCTCTTAATGCAAGTCTGAACTTCAACCTTCTAAGGAGGATTTCAGATTTAGGCAGTTTGTTGATTTTAAGAGTGACAAAGTGTAAAGCAAAATACAGTTAAATGGAAAAAGTGGAAAGTTATAAGTTAATATTTGTAGAGACTGAGGGCCAGTGGATGTGTCTATAATATGGATATACAAAGCATGCATTCTCACGTGGTGATTTGGAAACTTGTTTGTTTTGACAGATGTGAGTTCAAATCCCATCACTGGACATGCTTGTCCTTTCAGCCTTGGAAGCATTATAACGTGACAGTCACTCCCACTGTTCATTGGTAAAAAGTAGCCCAAGAGTTAATGGTGTTGTCTAGCTGCCTTCCCTCTAGACTTTCACTGCTAAGTTAGGGACGGCTAGCGCAGATAGCCCTCGTGTAGCTTTGCACAAATTGCAAAAGCAAACTTTGTCTGAAATTCTTTTATGTTTTCTTGTATTTTACTTATTGATGAATAAATTGAAAGATAAGTCATTATTATTGTGATTGTACATAGTATCATTAATGTGCTTTTTTCCTTACACCGCTAGTGAAGTTATTAAATTTAAATTTGTGTATCTGTCTCTATATACCACATTTACAACTTTTTCGTACCTAACTTGAAAGTGTGTTTTGAAACAATTGCCCCATTTATGAATTAATTCTATCAAATTACTTAATTCCTTCTACCCGATTTTATAAAATTCATATAATTATGAATTGACAAATTTCATTTTCATTTGTCTTGCATTTTTGTATACAATTCCTAAATTTATTTTCAATTGAAAACTTCTACAACTGTACAAGGGGGGAGAGAAGAAGGCAATTCTTAAAAGTTTAATTTTTTAAAACTTATGTTAGTTTTCAACAATTAATTAATTTCTGAACTCTATCTATATCAACCATTTTAATCCAAAATGTAGAAATTAATCAATATTCATTTATTTATCTTAAACTTTTTACACTATTGTAAAGAAAATATACCATAGTAACAAAGTAATTTCGTACAAATACTTAATTTGTTTCAGTTTATCGCTTTTTTACATACTTTATTAAGTTTCGGTTTGTGGATTATACAAAGCATAGACTATATTAAATCTTAATGTTTATATATTCTTGAAGTAAACATAATTTTTTACCAATATCTTTGTCTACATATCTGTTGTGAATACATCGTCTAACAAACAATAATGTAGGCCCTGTTGGTTCAGCGGTAAACCTGAGGGTTTTTAGCACTAAGAATTAGGTTTGGATATCCACAGCACAGATAGTTTATTGTGTAACTTTGTGCTCAACAACAAACAAGCCTTAATATATTCTTCTCCCGTAGACGTTGTTCCTTGACCCGCTTCGAGTCAAGAAGGCTATCTTGTAGACGTTGTTGTTCCTTGACTCGCTCCAAGATCAAGAAGGCCAGTTTACTGGTTTGTCAGTTCTGAATAATGAGCAGGTCAATTCAAGAAAATAATGTATGATGTTAAAATAAACAAGTAATATATTGTTGAAAAATATTATCCAAATTCTGTTATTTTATA